GCAGCGCTTCCTCTCCTGCTCCGGGCATGGAAAAATGGGCGGAGGTCCTGGGATGGCCAAGCGTGTGGGGGGGGGCAGGAGGCAGCAGAAGGCGCCCAGGGCACCACGGACTGGCTCGGGGAGACGCGTGGCTGGCTCGGCTGCCCAGGCAGGGAGCAGCCTGGGGACGGCCCAGGGAGCGATGCCCCCACCGGCCGCTGCCCCAGCAAGGACTGTCGCGCGGCCCAGCCCGGGGAGACACGTGGCCAGCTCAGCTGCGCAGGGAGCGGCCTGGGGACAGGCCAGGAAGCAATGCCCCAGCCAGGACTGCTGCCTGGTACAGGTAAGCTGGGGGGGTGCCACCCGCCCCGTGGCCGCTTCGCGGTGGTGCTCTGCAGACTCAGAGCTCCCTCCCTCCCCCCCTGCCACTGACCTTCCATCTCCGGCTCTGCTGCTGCTTGGCCAATGGTTGCGCCGGCTGGACATCGCAGGGGCTGCTCTCTCTCGGGGCTGCGGCTTACGGGAGGGCTGGCCCACTCAGCAAAGGCTCTGGGGGGGTTGCTCCCAGCGGGGATCCCGGGGCTTCCCCGCATGGCTCCCCAGCCACGTGCGCCTGGGACGGGGCCAGCCCGGGAAAGGGACTTCCTGGCCACCCTTCTCCCAGGGGGCGGGGCACCCGGTCGCAGGGCCAATGAGGAGCCCTGCGAGGGGGCAAGTCCCATGAGAGAGAGAGAGAGAGAGAGAAGTGCAAGTGCAAGTGCCTCTGTCTCTCTCTCTCTCTCTCTCATGGGACTTGCCGGAGGGCCGTGGGAGGGCCGCATTTACATAGAGCAGGGAGGGCTGTTAGAGGGCCGTATTAAACCGGAACGCGGGCCGCAAATGGCCCGCGGGCCGGACTTTGGACATGTCTGCCTTAAGACTACAAAATAAATCTGAGGACAAAAAAACAGATTGGATAAAATGGAATGTAGAGAAAACATCAGAGAGAAAGGAAGTGATAAGAGAAGCAGAGAAGAAGAAAAAGAAAAAGATTTTCAAGAAACATGGAAAGGTAAAAGCCTCATATAAAGACATTTTATTCGATTTACTTCTTATACCTACAGCAACAATCATGAATATATGGAAAAACTTTTTGATTCAGCAAAACACATTGATCAAGAAAGACACTGATCAAAGGAAAAAGATTAAAGTGAAAATTAAGAAAATAGATGATGGGATATACCAGAGAGAATATTTAAAAAAGAAACATTTGTTTGAATATGGTTAAAGAAATAGAAAAGATTTTGAATACCTATGTCATTCTAAGAGGGATGAATTCCTTAAATAATACTGTATGCTTTTCCCCCCTTTTTTATTTTATTTCTTGATATAAGTAATATAATACTGTTGAAATGGCTTAGATGAAGGAAATGTTTTAGATAATTAAATGTGTTTGAATTTAGGGAAATTATAAGGTATAAAAAAGAAAAAAATGTTTTGAATAAGAGTTAAAGGATTAGATGACTAGACACATTAAATGGAATATTTAAAGATTAAATATATTTTTAATTATGGTTAAAAAGAAGAAGACATTTTGGGAATGAATATATATTAGCTTAGGAGGAATATATATTTTAAGTAGTATTTTACTTTTTATGTTTATTTACTCTTGCTCTCTTTTCTTTTTGTTTACTCTTTTTACCTATTCTTTAAGAAATGTAGAAGTGTTGAGATGGTTTATATGGGAAAAATGGATTTAAATCTTTAAATGTAATTATCTGTTGATAAGATCTTAACCAGCAAGAATACTTTGAACTTTATGGGAGAAACAAATTTAAATAAGGATTGTAACAGGATATAAGATGAGGCAACCAGAATGATTAGATAGAAAAGAAATATTATATTGATGTGATCATTATTTCTAGGAATATTGGGAAAAAAATCCTATATGTAACTGTTATTTATCAAAATAATAAGAACTGTATTAATTCAAGGTTTGCAAAGAAGATATTTTGGGGGAAAGGGGAAATCAACTAAATGTACTATGTGGATTATGAATTATAGAAACCAATTGTTAATGATTTTTCTTTACAAATGTAAACCCAGCAACTATTAAGTGATTTATGTTTTTAAAAATCAATAAAATATATGGGGGGAAAATAAACAACCATGAGAAGCAGCCAGTTGCCTTCCTTTTATTTCTTGCTAAGTGAACACAATCATTTGGATGTAGAAAAGCTGCATGAACCTAGTACAATTCATTCCATGCTGGGATCCTATGACTTGAAGCAGGCTAGGTTAGTGAAGATGAAGTATTGAGGTGGGTGGAAAATCATATGTATGCAGATAGGCAATCTCTATGTGTGAGTCACTGTCCTCTAAATAGTGCCTCATCCGCCCCACCACTGCCTAAAGGAGACTTCCTCTGAGTAGGAAAGCTTCCTTCCTCCATCCAACGCAGTCTGATGGGAACACCCAAGTCACACTGCATGCTTTCTCAGGCATTCAACCTCTTTGTGACTATGAGAGACATGGAGAGAAGAGGAACAAGCTGAGATATTTGTGGAAGAAACCAATTGCTCACTTTGGGCTCGAATGCAAGGGGTCTAAATCCATGAGGCTGTAAACACCTGTGTCTGCTGGATGTTACCTGAATGAAACAGGCAGCCCAGAGCAGGGCGTGGTGTGCTCATAAAGGTGCCAATGTTTCTTTTCCCTCAGTTGGATTTTTCTGACTTTATCATTCTGCATTAATGTCAAAGCTTCCCTTGGAGTCCAGATTGATATTCCGAACAGGATGGACTAATTTTGATCCTCACGAGGGCCCTGCACCTCAGGATACTTGCAACAATGAAGAACTGGGGACAGAGCGTCCTGCCTGAACATTTTTCCACAAAGCTTTTTCTGCTTTCTTAACTTGCCAATCTCTTATTGTGAAGAAGCCAAGAGAAACATTTGTTTTGAGATATTCCTCCCCACCGATCGTCACAGAGTTTAACGTGGGAGGGGGGGAGGACCAGAGGCAGGTTCAGACCAAACACACAAGTCCAGGCGGGTTGATGTGACTCCTGACACAATCAACAAGGAAGAACCAAGCCACACCTGAAGAGGCAGGACAGATTGTGTGGACGGAGGCAAGAGAAGAAACTGGTGAGATGTGAACCAGCAGGTAAAACCAGGGACACAGGTGGGATCCAGATTAGGCAAGCGCGGGGGGGGGGAGCAGCTGAGGCAGGAATCTAAGAGTAGAGAAATTGATCCAGGGACTCTCCTTTTCCAAAACGTTGCCCTAACAACTGGAATTTGAGAGGTAGCTTTTGATTGGCCCACTGAGTGTTTGGTTCCAGGCTTCGGTGCTTGTCTGGATAGGCCTCTCTTGTGGGGTGGAGAAATGGAATTCTGCCCAGTGCATGAAATCCACTGAAAAGGTTAGGAATTGCTACCCGCCAGCTTTATGCTAATTGCCACCATCACGAGAGCCCTTGGCACATTCAGCTGATATTCGATAGATGAAGGGTGTCCTCTCTCACTTACAAGCCAGTTCAGTACAATCCCCTAGATTGTCAGGGATTCACCCAGAGGGGTTAAGGGCAATGAAACTGTGATTCAGATCCCATCTGAGCTACTGGATTGCCCTGAGGCCTTGGGATATTTTCCAAGCTTCCATTTTCACTGTCTCTAAACTATTAGGAACAATGAGACTGCGCCTACTGCAGGTGGAAAATACAATCAATAACAATCTTCTCTTTGGAAGCACTAAATAAAGTGTAGGCGCATCTGTTGATTGGAGCACAGTTCCTCAAACTCTGTCGTGAGGCAACAATTGTAACCACAAAAGTTTAATAAATCAAAAACCTCCCCATAAAATTTCTCCCCAAAGTCTGGAAAGAAGAAACATTTTGGAAATTCTTCTCCAAGCCCTCTTATTTAGTGGGTACCAATAGTTTTGCACTTGATCCACTAAATCAGTGTTTTTTGTTGTTGGCCCCCTTCCAACCTTGTTTTTCTGCTAGGGCCACTATCCAGTTCCCATTACCAATAAAAAAATTGCCATTTACAAATTATAAATATAATATATGCTTTTATTTATAATAAATACAATATTTGCAGTATAATACACTTTGTTTTTCTGTGGTCCCTTTGGCGTATGCTTACATGTTTTCACCTGTGAACTTTTGAAATTTTCTGGGACCTTGAGGAGTCATATGGCTCCCAAGTATGTTGAGAACTGCTGAATGAAATAATATACTTGTCTTGGTGGTATAGGCTGGCCTTTGATTTCATAATGTATCATCATACTTTTCATCATATCAGGAGAAGCATGTTTTTATTTTATTTGTTAATTATATCCTGCCTTTATCCTGAGCACCAAACCTTGTTGTACTCGGATATAGCCTGTCTGCTCTACGTGTTCCTTTATTCTGAGTAACTGACTTTATTCTGTTTAAATCTGAATTTGCACTAGCAGTTGGCCTAATATATTTTTAATACCCCAGCCTTCCAAGGGAGTGTCTTTATACATGTGCAGATATTTTTTTCCTCCTGAATAAGGGAGTTGTCCAGACATATAATAGATTTCTTGCAGTTTCCTGGGAAATAATGGGAGCATGCAGATAAATGGGAAAGTATTACTGTGGAGGATCAAGACCATCCCTCTCCCAGATAAATGATTCCAGGATATATAGTAGCTGAATTTTTCAGTACAAAAGTTGTGAAACATCCAGTTGGGAAAGAAAAGCATTTCTCCCACGAGCTCCTCAATTTTTGTATCAAGAATCATGTAGACAATAAAGGAAAGAAATAAATTCCTTGTGTGCGACAATGCATACCTGGTTCTATCCATTATATGTACTTGTCCAAAAGCCAGATTTATAAGGAAATTTCTAAAAGAGTTCTTTTTGTATACGGCTGTACATTTTCTGTAACTTTTAAGCCTGAGTATGTTTACTAATATGTTTTTACCCTAGCAACATGAATCTATTTTTTAAATTTTCCCCATTTGAATCCATGTGTTTTCTGTCTCCATATTAGAGTAGCCAATTTTACTTCATTGTTTGATGAAACAAAGCAATACAAGGAAAGTGGTGTCTACTATCAATAGTCTTCCTTTATGGGGAAGTGGTAAGTTTTTCTAAGAGAGTAATGAAAGATGTACACAGATTTGTAACCTAAATACAATATCAAAATAAATTTTATTAACTTTTTGTATAAAATAGCAATTTCACTGTTTTACATAGTTGGGAAAATAAATACCTGGGAGGGGATATTTTTTGGGATATGATATTCTTTCAGTTTTGTTTTTCCTGAATGAAAAGGTTTTGGTTTAATAGCTCATGATGATTGTCAACAAAATGCAAAGTATAATAAAATATTTAGCATTTTACTATATAAGTCTTTGGCTTCTTTGATACTTAGCTATAATTGGACATATTTAGTACTATGGATGTGACAAGAAAAACTATATGGTAGCTGTAAATTGTCTTGTTAAAACTGCATAATAGATATGTAATCCTAAACTCTAGTTTAAAAGAAATGGAAAAACTAAGGATGTTATCTTGCTTGTAAAGTTCCAGCAGAATCTATTCAGCCAGATTTTAAAACAAATTTCTGGGTCAGATAGAACTTTGTTCTTTTCTGGTATGCAAAACCATAGAAAAAGACCCAGTCCTGCTAATATTAGAAACCTCTTTTCCAGTTGGTGGTGAAAGAGTTTCCAAAATAAATTAATTTTAAACACATTATTTTCTAGATGGGAAGATAATCTACATGGAAGGAATTCCAGTTCCTGCTCATTGACATTTGACATTTTCCCTATTAAAATTTATATTTTATCATAAGGAGTGTTTATCTTTTGCAAGCCAGGTAGAGATCTGAAAGACTGTTCCAAAACAGCTTCAATAAATGAATAAATTGGAAAAAGGAAAAGAAAGGTTTTTCTAAATATCATGTAATTTGGCAAAAGAAAGTAGGAGCCGAAGAACAAGCCAAGCAGGGAGGGGAAAGTCTAAATGCTAGAACGGGAAAACAGATTGGGTTACTTTCACTATTTTAAAAGAAAAAACAAAACAGAATTTCAGGGCAGATCAGAAATATTTTGATGTGAAAAAGACAAAATGACATCACTCTATTACACGTACATCTGAGGAGGTCAATAACAAAAGGAGAAAAGAGCAGTCTGTGAAGCAATTAGAGATTTCCTCTATAATATTTCCTTGCAATCCTCCCCTCCATCCCCACAATCCCTCTCAGCCCCTGCTGCCTGGGAGAATCATCTCAGCCTATATTGTCTACCTATGCACATTACAACAATGTTGGAAGTGGTCTGAACCTTGCCCTGAAAACACAAATGTGTCAGAATGGTATTTATATCATTCCTGGCAGTTTTTTTGCAGAGATCATCCTATGCATCTGCAGACAAAAATGTTTTCTTGATTAAGAGGCAGGAAAATAAAGCAACCCTGGCAGAAAACAAAATGATAAATGGAAGCATCCCGAGATTACATCGAGCCTGCACAAAAAAAGAAAACACAAAATTAGCTTTGCAGCATGGTATAGCATGTTTCATGGAACAATAACAAATAGTTGCTTACAGATTAATTGCAATTGCAATTATACTCATGCCAATTCAATTATAATACTCTTTCACACCTACCAGTTACCAGGGTTGGCATGAGAAGGCAACACCAAGCTGTGATTTAGAAGCTGCCCTCAACCTATCCTTTACAAATGTGTAGTCATTCTTTACCATGGCATGCTTTAAGGCTGAAAATTAACTATCACACTATACACTTTCAGTAGCTTGCAACTGAAAGTTAGAACAAATTACCAGTGGGAAGTGGTAGAACAGGGCTGTCAAACTGGCAGCCCGTGCACCAGATGCGTTACATGCAGGCAAAAAAGTCACAATACATCACGATATGTCACGCGACACGATTAAGTTTGACACCCGTGTGGTAGAAGAACATTAGGTTACCTTGTCAAGGATAAGAAGAATAATGATGCAAAAATAAGTACATGTGTATCATTTATTTGGACAGCAGAATTCTGTCATAAAAAAAACTTCTATCCTTCCTCCTCAAATTAAGTACATACAGGCCTGTATAAAGTCATGTTTAACAAACTTTTTTTTCTTTCAGAGGGAAATAAATAACCCACTTTGGGACACTAAAGATGGAGTCACCAGGCAGAGAGGAGGAGACATACGTGCTGGTGGAATATGCCTTTGAATATACCTCCAAGGATGGCCACCTTATCACAATCAAACCCAATGAGAGATACATACTTTTAAGGCGAACCAATGACCATTGGTGGCATGTTAGGAAGAGCAAAAATTCCCAGCCTTTTTACATCCCAGCTAAGTATGTCAGAGAGTTGAGCTCCTTCGTGCTTTCTGAAAAGCCATGTCACACAACACAGATGAAGGCTATCAATTTAGGGACCTCCATTGGAGTTGGCAGTGATCAATTGCCAGAGTATGAATATCGATTTGTGACAGGTGTTCAAGAATGCAAAACAGATACCTCACAGCAGTATTCCAGTTACTTAAAGATGGGAACAGTGAAGTCTCTGGAAGATAATGGGAAGAATCTACCCACTTCTAGAGCAGGGAGAGGCACACAGCCCCCTCTCAGTGCCTCATACAGTTCTTATAAGCCACTTTACCTGACATACTCTAATCCTCCTCTGGCCTCCCAAGGCGGTTCTGCTAAGTACATGAGGCCTGCTGTATCTCTGGATGACTTGACAAGATTCACATCTCCCACCCAGGCAGGTGTGGGGAACTCAGGATTGTACAAAGCTGCTTCGTGGACTCATCCTCACCCATTTCTGAAGAATAATTCTGAAAACATCTGTAAATTGGTGAAGGACCAAGTGATACAGGACATGCAGGAATGCTGTGTCAAAGAGGTACTCTGACAATTTCCTATTAAAGAACTGCATTTCCTAGGTCCCAGATGTGTTTGCCTACATATTCCCTTATTCCATTTTAATGGAATATGAATACAGGGGGCTATGGGAATTATAATCCAGTAGATTCTGGAAGATATTAGTGTGGGGAAGGCTTTTATGTCTGCCTCCAGAACTCACTGGACTGCAATATCCATAATTCCCGACACTGTGGAGTGATGGGAATTTTAGATTAATTAGATCTGACTATGTCACATTGAAGAAGGCCAAATGAAAGACTAGAAATAACAGTTGCTTAAAAACCACACTGGATTGGTGTTAGCCATTTCTAGCTTTGTTTCTGGTCTATTATTTAGCCTCATCACCTGCAGGTCTCCTCAGAGTTCATTCTTCTGCAGTCAGTAGTATTCCTGCTAAGGAATTGTTGAAATCCCCGGTTTTCTTTATTAGTGATTGGATGCTACTCTCCTCAGAATCATTTCTTCCTTGCTGAAAGATATTCTGATCTCAGTTCAGTTCCAGATAGGTTTGCCAAACTTAATTACAGTATTTCTCTGCAATTGATATTCCCAATTTGCTATAAAACCTTAGCATACTTTGTCTCAGATCCTGCCATTTCTGACTGGAGATCTTAAAGTAGAATGCTCTCAAGATAAAACTCCTAGTGCTAGGGCTGAGAAATATCATATTAGAACTCTTATGACAAGCATACAATTATGTGTTTACACACATAGATTCTGATACAAAGTCATTCACTTATTCTCCAACGTACTACAGTATTATCTGAAAAAAGTAACTGAATATTATTTACATCTATTCCACAACCATAAATGGCAACTCAATTTTGTTCTGATACACACAAGCTGGCTCCACACAGTATAGTAAACTACGGGAAAGTGAAGTAGATTAGCTTGTGGCTCAGAATGTTGCACAGAGCCAAGCAATTGTGTTCATTCAATAATCCATAAAATGGATGCCCACATCTTGGGCAAAATACAGGTTTTGCTTAATGACGGTACATGAAAAGGAGGAATTCTATACCTCAGAATCTAATGGAATCTCAGAATGAGAAAATGAGTGTCAAACATCACAATCCAAACTCTAGTTCACGTATGGATGTGCGGTATGAGAACACATATACATATACTGAACAACATACTAGGCGGCCACATTTCAGCCAATGAATCCATTGAAATAATATATCAAGGAAGAATTTAGTAGTTTTGGAGATAATCCTAGTACAATAGTGTTAAGTCCGGAGAATAATGGCGCTTGAGACGAAGCATTTCTAACAAGTCTTTATTCTCTGCTTCCAATCTACGAACAACCCGAGCAGAGGCACGCAGGCCTCTATTTATACCTTCTGATCCCGGGCAAATCCAACCAATCATAATGCAGTCTTTTCCCGCCTTGCGCATGCGCGCAAGGCCGGCGCCACTCAGTCTGGTCCCGGGCAGCTTTTGCAATTGCCCGGGACTCTTGCAACGTCCCGAGCCTGCTTTTGCAGGCTCAGGACACAACACCCCTCCCCCCCTAGATGAAATAATACGCGCCCACATGGATGCCATCATAGTGATGGTTATATAATTAAATATTGAGTTAAGTCACACGGTGTGTGTAAGATGTGGGACTGTTCCGTCGTACAGAGACCCAATAGCCCCACATCTTTTACGTAGAGTCAACCAGCCAGAACCTCTAGTTCAGTTATTGCAATTGACATGCTCACCTTACGTAATCTGCAAGGTATTTGGGAGGGCCTTTGACCCTGAGCGACCTTCTCGTACCTGGGGAACCTATAGTGTTTTCCCCGTTGCTTCCCACACTAGGTGAATTGCCCTGTGGTTGTCTTGTGACTTCTGTTTGACTTTCCTGCCCGTCTCCTAGGCTTGAGAAGTCAGAACTCTGTTGATCGCTACACCTGGTTGACCTACCGCCTATGGAGTTTTCCAACCCCTCTGAACTCATCTCCATGTTTCTTGACGGAGTGTGGTTTTCCTGGCTCCTTCCTGTAGTGTTAGGGTCTAGGGATGCCTCCCTGTTAGCCCTTATGCGTGGGGACATCCTTCTATGAGCCATTTCAGCAAAGGACGTGNGAGACTGAGGAGGAACCCCAGGCGAGTCCCGCCTCACACGTAGTTGATCAATGTGGCGGCGAAGAACGCGGCCGTCTTCCAGGGACACCTCGTAGGACAGAGGCCCCGAGACCTTGCAGACCACAGCCGGGACCCAGAGGTGTCCAGGCCCGTAGTTCCTGGCCCAGACAGGATCGCCTTCACGCAGGACCCGTGGTGGTTGTGGCTGAGACACCTGTGAAGCTACACGCTCCGGATGCAGCCTGTCCAATTTAGTCACGAGCCGACGACCCCAGCGGAGTTCGGCCGGGCACTTACCTGTGGCAGTGCACGGAGTAGTACGATGGGCTAGAAGAAAGTCAGCCAACCTGTGATGCCAATTGCCATAAGTCAGCTTCTTGAGGGCGTCCTTGGCGACGCGGACCATCCGTTCAGCCAGACCATTGGTGGAAGGATGGAAAGGAGCCGAAGCAGCGTGGCGGATCATGTTGGCCTGTAGGAATCCCTGAAACTCAGTAGAAGTAAATTGAGGACCGTTATCTGACACCAGAACATCTGGCAACCCATGTGCAGCAAAAATGTTTCTCAACACTTGAATAGTTTTGGCAGCTGTGGTAGAAGACACAGGCACGACCTCCAGCCATTTGGAATGGCTATCAACAACAACCAGGAAGAATTGTCCCTGAAAGGGCCCAGCGTAATCTACATGTATTCTAGACCATGGAGTGTGTGTTTCCTCCCACCTGTGTACAGGGGCCAGGGGCATTTCAGGCCTGGACTGCTGGCATGCATGACACCCATGTACCTGGGCCTCGATGGCCTGATCAATGCCAGGCCACCACAGATGGCTGCGCGCAAGCGCCTTCATCCTGACGATTCCGGGGTGGCCCTCATGTAATGAAATCAAGATTCTAGCCCTCAATGAGGCCGGAATCACAACTCTCGAACCCCAAAGGAGGCAGCCATTGAAAGTGGACAACTCGTGCCTCTTAATCCAGAAACATTGAAAATCCTCTGCAGGGCACCTGTCAGGCCAACCAGACAGGACCCATGACAGCACGCGTTTGAGCGTGTGGTCAGTGGCAGTTTCAGCAGCCACATCCCTAGCATTGAGGGGACACTCAGGCAAC